ATATATATATATATATATATATATATATATATATATATATATATATATATATATATATATATATATATATATATATATATATATATATATATATATATATATATATATATATATATATATATATATATATATATATATATATATATATATATATATATATATATATATATATATATATATATATATATATATATATATATATATATATATATATATATATATATATATATATATATATATATATATATATATATATATATATATATATATATATATATATATATATATATATATATATATATATATATATATATATATATATATATATATATATATATATATATATATATATATATATATATATATATATATATATATATATATATATATATATATATATATATATATATATATATATATAAAAATGGAACAGGGTTGTTTAACATTGTCACACAGATTGTGTCATCAGATTCAGATTCGGCGCTCTTATTGATTGACTGAATCTATCAGAAATTAATTGGAGGGAAAACTCGATCACAAAAGCTACTAAGTGGTTGAATATGTCAATTTGACAATCAAAGACCTCAGATTTTAGGGTCTTAAAGGAAGATTTCTAAAATTAGTCTCCGCTGATTGAATAGTGGCTGAAATTGCACAGTTTGAAAAGGGCATAAAATGTTCTGTGGGGGGTGGGGGGGGGGGGGTATATATAAAACCTATATAGTAGTGTCAAAAGTCAGGCTCGGAGTCTGGTAAAAGGTGTGGTTTTGCAGTTATTCACCTTATCTTCAATTTAATTATGAGGTTAAAAATGACATTTTAGAGATATTTTAAGATCTGTCTGTCTGTTTATCTATCTGTCTGTTTCTCTATCTATCTATCTATCTATCTATCTATCTATCTATCTATCTATCTATCTATCTATCTATCTATCTATCTATCTATCTATCTATCTATCTATCTATCTATCTATCTATCTATCTATCTATCTATCTATCTATCTATCTATCTATCTATCTATCTATCGTATCACCTGTCTGTCTGTCTGTCTGTCTGTCTGTCATCACCTCATTTTTAATTTAATGATGAGTTTAAAAACTGCTTTTTAGTGATATTTTAAGACCTGTCTTTCTGTCTGTCCGTCCTTTTGTCCGTCGGTCCATCCAACGGTCTTTCCATCCATCCATCCATCCATCCTGTTTTTTTTTGCTGGATTAGTTTGATCATAACCACATTTTTTTAATAGACCAAAAAAAGTCCTAAAAATATAATAAAGAAATCATATATAATTTGAAAAAGACATTGGAATCTGTTAAAGTATTTAATTTTAGTTTTGTCATTTGAATAATAATAATAATAACAACAATAATAATAACAAAAATAAAAAATGAGGATTTTTCTAGCCTCTGTTGTAAAAAAAAAGTACATTATAAAAATCATAAATAACAATAGCCTAATTAGTATTCAAATAACTTTTTAATATGGGCCATTTATGGTGCTTCACGTTTTTTAATTGGTATTTTTTTTGGAATAAAAGCTAATTGTGAACTTATGAATGTTTTCTCTATTTAAAAACAATACAGTATAGGTCAGTAGTGAAAGATGACTTCGATTACCTAAGATTGTATGTTTTCTTGCACAACAGATATTGGACTCATCAAAAATAATAGCTTGCATTGGTCATAACTGATTATATGAAGTAACGCCAATGCGACCGCCAACAGAGGATTCTTTAATGGGTTATTTTCACAATTTATGATGGCTAAACAGTCAAAATAGGATAAATGAGCTCATGTATGCGACAAACTCTGGACCTTTGTCAATGAAGGGTAGGTCTATTGAACCACCCGAACCCCCCATAGCTACAGGCCTGCAAGCATCAGTACCATTCAGTACTGTAATTTTTAAAACATCCAATTGAGCACTGTTAAATGGGGTTTTAAACACTGCTGATTGGCCAATCAATGGCCTGTTTAAACAATGGCCAATCAGTGGTGTCTTAGAATGCACTCAAATGTTTGTGGTAAATGGACGTTTTTTAAATTTCAGTCTCAATTGGTACCGAACTCGATTGACAACACTATTATATGGTATACAGGCAAATACTGAAGAAAACCGTGAGGAATTTCCTAGTCTGAAAATAAACAGTGAGGTTGTATGAAGTCTGCCCTTGTAAAAGCTTGCAGCGCTACGTCATGGAATGTGGCAGCAGGACAGAAGCGTGAGGTCTGTTTAGATTTGGGGTTGGGGGATGGAGCGCATGGGGGCTTCCCACTGCAGACGTGCACACACAAGAGCCGACTGTGTGTTACTGACACATGCTCCTCCCTTCCTCTGTTTCCTCCACAGATGAGCGATGGAGAGAGAGGAGGGAACAGCTGTGCCAGAGAGGCAGTGAAAGGAGGAGGAACTCAGTGAGAGTCTGATGCTGCACCGGGCAGGAGCACAGAGAATCTTGGGAGTAAAGGGATGCAAAGGAATACTTGTAAAAGAAATATGAAGGCATATCTTTTTGTGATTGGACGAATGGCATTTTAAAGGTAAATGAGACTTTATTAATATGCAATACTGTGTGTGTTTGTGTGCATGTGTGGGTAGGAGCCGTTGGTGCATAGTTAGTTAGAATGATACAAAGGCAGATTCATAGTTAAACATATGCTGGTATTAAATATGTAGTGATAATGAACATGATATTGATATCATGGTCACTTCAAAATACAGTTAATAAGTAGTTGTTATTTATAATTTTTGAGTGCTTTTTAAAGAATATTCAGATTGTGTTTGCAGTTGTGTTCATAGCAGCATTCAATGCTTGGAGACTTGGAGCATAATAGTTCAAAGGTAATTATTTTTGTTAATCTGGCCTACTACATGCTGGATATAAAATTTTGTGACTGTTTATATATTATAGCAGAGAGGCTAAAATAATTAATATTGGTTAATTGAACTAAACTAACAATGAAATTAACATTAAAAACTTTCATAATTTTCATAGTTATTGCCTAATGATGCATTAAACTAGTAGTGGTAATCCAATTACAAGTCACAATCGTTTTATTAAATAGCTAATAAAACTCAGTTGTATTTTAAACTATGTTAACATAGTAACTGTAGTAAATTTAAAAATAAAATAAAAATAAAATAAAAAGATTTACTAATGGAACTTTACTATAAAGTGTTACCTATTGCACTTTATAATCCTTTTCCAATTGAATTAGGTTGAGCCTTTTGTTTACTTTAAATGTGTATATACTTTAAAGTATTTCTTTTAGTATTATATTTGTTAAAGTAATCTTTTTTCGCAGCTTAAGTCAATATTGTGATAATTGCGTACAGTATATCGTGATAAAAACTTCATCAATTTATCACCAAAGGAAATATTGATGCCATCAGAAGCCTAGTTAGAATTATAAAATGGATGATTTGATACAGGACGATGCAGTGGCGCAGTAGGTAGTGCTGTCGCCTCACGGGTGCTCCGCTTTCCCCCACAGTCCAAAGACATATGCGGTACAGGTGAATTGGGTAGGCTAAATTGTCCATAGTGTATGAGTGTAAATGAGTGTGTGTGGATGATTCCCAAAGATGGGTTGTGGCTGGAAGGGTATTCGCTGTGTAAAAATGTGCTGGATAAGTTGGCGGTTCATTCCGCTGTGGCGACCTTGGATTAATAAAGAGACTAAGCCGAAAAGAAAATGAATGAATGAATGAAGTATTGATAGTGTACCTCGGTTCAGTTGGCGTTTCTGTGTGGAGTTTGCATGTTCTCCCTGCCTTCGCGTGGGTTTCCTCCGGGTGCTCCGGTTTCCCCCACAGTCCAAAGACATGCGGTACAGGTGAATTGGGTAGGCTAAATTGTCCGTAGTGTATGAGTGTGTGTGTGTGTGGATGTTTCCCAGAGATGGGTTGCGGCTGGAAGGGCATCCGCTGCGTAAAAACTTGCTGGATAAGTTGGTGGTTCATTCTGCTGTGGCGACCCCGGATTTATAAAGAGACTAAGTCGAAAAGAAAATAAATGAATGAATTATTTGACGCAAAGATTTATAGACCGTATTCTTAACTGTGGCCTTGTTGTTTCTTTGTAATTTTTCTGCGCAGATCACAATGGGCAATTCAGATAGTCAGTACAGCAGTTTCATTCTCCCTGGTAAGGGAAAGTCTAGCTCCCTGAAGCTGCACAATCCCAAAGAGGACGTGGTCTCGCCACAATCTTGGTGGAGGAACTCTGACAGCACCTCTGGGTACAAGGCTAAAAATGGCTTTTCACCACACAAAAACCATCAACCGTACATGTCACGTCGATATGACTGCATTAAGGAGGGATCTAGTGACAAAATATGTGCGGAGAGCCACCAGGACTATGACAACATTTTATTCCAGGGAAATGGATTTTTTGTAGGCTACAGACAACAGAGCGGAGGCCTCCAGGCTCCTATGAGGAACCCCAGTTCTGAGTGTAAAGACAGTAAGAGCAGTCCAAAAGTTCTGCTTCGTGATGATGGAAGTCTAAGAGTAGAGTTCACTAATGCACGGAGGGAGCCAGACGTTGAGCTGTCCTTGGGAACTCGTCGAAGTGGACCTGTTGATGGCCAAAGGGCCAGTAATGGAAGCTCTCTTGGCTCCGAGGGCTCATGGTATGACTCGCCCTGGGGGAATGGGACAGATCTGTGTGACAATGTCTTCTCCAACAGCCAACCTTCGGATAACAGCAGTGGATACACCACACTCTCATCCACACGTACAGTGGACTTTGGATATTTTAATGGTTACAACACAGAACAGTCTGAGCATCATACGAGTAGCCTTACCTGCCAAACAACAGTTCATGGCGGTCAGTATGCAAACAGTGATAGCAATAGTAATGGCAACCGTGTTGAGGAGGACAGTGGTATTGGAGACTCTGTGCTCCTTCATTTGGAAAACAATGGATTACCTGAGCAATACACAAACCCAAACATGACTCTACCGTTCCCAACTGTGGGCATCCTAATGACAGATCAGTTCAAGGATAGTCCTCATCTACAAGCTTCACTGACCTCTTCCCTGGATGCAAACTCCCAAGATGAGAATCAGGAAACCCGGCTTTACACCTCGCAAACCCTGCCATGCAGAAAAGCAGTTCCTGATGGGAACACAAGGAAGGACTCGCTCAAGAGTCGCATCCGCCGTCTCAGTGATTGGACGGGAAGTCTGAGCAGGAAAAAGCGAAGGCTACAGGTGAGAAAATGTGGATTATTTTGTACTGGCATATTGGGAAATATAGTCTGTCAGCAAAACTCATCATAGCAGACCTTCCTGTTTGATTCTTAAATTATATTGTATAAGTCAGGCGTGTCCAAACTCAGTCTTGGAGGGCCGGTGTCCTGCATATTTTAGTTCCAACCCCAATTAAACACATCTGATCCAGCTAATCAAACTCCGGGTATCCTGGAAACTTCCAGGCAGGTGTGTTGAAGGAAGTTTAAGATAGACTATGCAAGACACCGGCTTTCCAGGACACCCCTGGTATAAGTTATCGTATCAAACTTTCATCTTCTTGAGTATATTGTATGGAATCCTAATATAAGTTAGAGTTCATCAATTGTGTAAAAAGAGATGGCATACTTCTGTGAAACACTAAATAAGAGGTCTATTTGTTGGACTGATCTTAATTTGCAGAGTTGTCAGAAAGAGGATAGACAGAGGAAAGGTGTAAAAGCAGCATTGTGTCAACCTTGTAACTTAAGTACATTTGCACTTCTTGTACCTCAGGATCCTCAGGAACCAAGCATAGAAGTTGTTAACTGTGGAGCTGAGGGCACGGTCGAAGAATCCAGACCATTTTGGAATCCCATGTCATGCCAAACACAGCTGGACAGCACCTTATCTGGCCCTTTTGGGCAGCAGAACCAAGGTGCAACTCTCAGGCAGAACATCTATGAGAATTTTATGCAGGGCCTGGAGACCGCCAGCAGCACCGGGACCGTTGATGGACTCCAGATCTGGGAGGCTGAAGGGGAGAGCAGCAGTGGCTCGATGGGCTCCATAGAGCAAATGGACTTCCTGTTTGAGAAGGAGCAAGGTGTCGTGCGGAGGGCTGGTTGGTTGGCTTTTAAGCCTCTTATTACACTACATAAGGACCGCAAACTGGAACTGGTAACAAGACGCAAGTGGAGGCAGTATTGGGTCACGCTTAAAGGTAAGACTATAGAATTTCTTCAAATATTTCTTAAATTGAGCATTTTTTAAAAGTGCGTTTTCAGGCCCAAACTAGCAAGTGATAAAAACAGCTTGAAACAATGAAAAACATCAGTTACTTACCTACCTACTCCTAGGGGCTTTTATGTAGAAGTTGATATTTCGTGGCACCATATTGGTGTTTCGTAACTTCTAGTTTTTGTGAGGTGAATTGCTAGCCCAGGGATGGCCAAACTTGATCCTCGAGGGCCGGTTTCCCTGCAGAGTTTTGTTCCAACACTAGTCAAACACACCTGAACAAGCTAATCAGTGTCTAAAGATCACAAGAAATCTATAAGCAGGTGTGTTTGATTAGGGTTGGAGCTAAATTGTGCAGGATACCGGCCCTCCAGGACCGAGATTGCCCACCCCTGTGCTAGCCCAACGCTCAAGTCACAATCTGGAGAACCAGGACATACACACATACACTACAGACAATTTAGCTTACCCAATTCACCTATAGCAAATGTCTTTGGGCTGTGGAGCATCCAGAGGAAACCCACGCAAACATGGGGAGAGCATGCAAACTCCACAAAATAAAGTGTCTTCGCCAAATGATGTCTTTGATTGTACTTAAGCTAACTTTGTAGCTAAAATGTGTCCCAGTAAACTTTTACCTATTAAGAAAAATAATTACAGTCTTATACAACTTGATCTTTCATAGTATTTAATATGAAAACAAGATTTTTTTCTTACTAGAATAACTCTTGACTTGATGAGAGGTTTTACTGTATTAGAAGCTCTGTCTCAGACTGTTATTTTGTCCTCTTCAGGCTGTACACTTTTGTTGGGGGAATCCAATGGAAAGACCTCCCCAGAGCAGGAATGCACACCACGTTACGCAGTGCTTGCCGAGGACAGTATTGTACAGGCCGTTCCTGAGCATCCTAAGAAAGAGAATGTCTTCTGCCTCAGCAATGCCTATGGAGATGTCTACCTCTTCCAGGTTGGTGGCCTTTCTTTTGTAACATAGAACCATTTCCACATTAAGGTGCACTTTCAGTCAGTGTTTTTCAAGACGTCAATCAAAACCAATCGATTTTCACTGTTGTTGAGCAAAGTGAACCAAGCAGAAAATCACCGCTGCCATTAGATGGTGCTTAATGAACTTTAATGCCATGCATAAGGCTGCTTTCACACCTTTAGTACGTTTCCTTTGGTCCGTACTAAGGTAAAAAATAATTCGTAGTATTTTTTTCCAGCCGTTTTGGTTCAGTTTTACACCAGACTGCAATTGCTTTGAACCGAACCAGTTGAAACAAACCACATGACAACATCCACATCAGTCATTGGCTGGACAAATTTCCTGCACTGCATTTTGATTGCGCAGAATTAATTGGTGGGAAACTCAAGTGCAGAGCACTGTTCCCTCAGCAAGAAGGTTGCAGGTTCGAATCCCAGTTGATTCAGTTTGCATTTCTGTGTGTAGTTTGCATGTTTTCCCTGTGTTGGCGTGGGTTTTCTCCGAGTGCTTTGGCTGAATTAGATAAACTATATTGGCTGTAGTCTGTGAGTGTGTGTTTGTGTGTGAATAAGAGAGTGTATGTACCCAGTTTGGGGCTGGAAGGGCATCCGCTCTGTAAAACATATGCTGTAATAGGTGGTTGGTAGTTCCACTGTGGAGACCCTTGATAAATAAGGGTCTAAGCTGAAGGAAAATGAATGAATGAAACTCAAGTGCGTTCTCCCATTCATGAAGTCTCTCGCACTACCGGCAGCTAGCTCACTGCTCTTTGCCGGCAGCTAGCTCTCTGCAACTCTCACATGGTCGCCCACTGTAGCTAAGCAGGGCTGCGCCCGGTCAGTACCTGGATGGGAGACCACATGGGAAAGCTTGGTTGCTGCCAGAAGTGGTGTTAGTGAGGCCAGCAGGGGGCGCCCAACCTGCGGTCTGTGCGGGTCCTAATGCCCCAGTATAGTGACGGGGATGCTATACTGCTCAGTGAGCGCCGTCTTTCGGATGAGACGTTAAACCGAAGTCCCGACTCTCTGTGGTCGTTAAAAATCCCAGGATGTCCTTCGAAAAGAGTAGGGGTTTAACCCCGGCATCCAGGCCAAATCTGCCCACTGGCCTTTGTCCATCATGGCCTCCTAACCATCCCCATATTCCAATTGGCTTCATCGCTGTCTCCTCTCCACCAATCAGCTGGTGTGTGGTGTGCGGTCTGGCGCAAAATGGCTGCCGTCGCATCATCCAGGTGGATGCTGCACACTGGTGGTGGATGAGGAGATCCCCCCATTGTGTGTAAAGCGATTTGAGTGCCCAGAAAAGCGCTATATAAATGTAAGGAATTATTATTATTACTACTTGCATACTGTTTTTAATGTACTATATAGTATGCAAGTATGATATTTTGGACACATCGAATGTGTCAAAAAACCTCTCATGCCAGAATGTATGTTGCATGACTACGCAACGTTTTTATTCCAAAAAAGTGAAGAACTTTGCATTTGGGTCAGTTCAAGGTGGGTTTATATTCTCACCACAAAATAACCGATAAGGGTTTGCTTAAAAGTGCACAGAGAATAACTTTTCGAGCAGGTCTTTCGAATTGCTCTCAATAATATCTCCCTCACGCCACACTGTTGCCTTTATAATACAGCTTTTTGCATTTAGACATCAATGAAACTGCTCCCCTAGACTATCGTGTGCTTGAGTACCACCAAGTTGTTGTAACTTCTTCAGCAACAACGAACAAAAGTGTCAATTTCATTGGTGGACCAGTTTTTGACGGGGCATGCCAAGTGAAGTTTTGCAAACTAATTTCGAGAGGAGCACTTGATATGATTGACCACAGCTGGTCCCTATTGATAATCAGTTGCTAGCCAATCGGAATATTCCAAATTTAACATAAGTAGATCCATCTTATTAATCAAGGTGTAGGCTTAATGAAGTAGGGGAGCTCTCGAGAACTACCTGATCTCATATCCCTCTTGAATGCTCATTCATCAGGTGGAAGCCTTGGGCTCATCCGTCTCCGAGCTCAGGGTTCTCTTCCGAGACAGCATGCCAAACCTGAACGCCAAGCATTATCTAAGTGTGAATGCTTGAAACTTAAAAAAACTAGCTTGATTCCTAGTGGGGTTTTGCAAGTTGATTTGCACGATCACATCGCCACCCTTTGTTTAGTCACGAGGCATCAAACGTCAATGAAAAGCGAGAGCAAAAAGTATTGTACCCTTGTTTGCACATGCCTTTACTTTATATCAACTTTTACCTCTTTCCACTTACCTGCAGGCTGAAAACCAAACAGACCTGGAGAACTGGGTGACGGCCATCCACTCAGCCAGCGCGTCACATTTAGCGAAGCGTCAGGGAAAAGAAGACACTCTGCGCTTGCTGAAGAACCAAAGCCGATCTCTCCTGCAGAAAATCGACATGGACGACAAAATGAAGAAGATGGCGGAGCTGCAGCTGTCTGTCATCAGCGACCAAAAGAACAGGAAGGCTATTGAGAGCCAGGTGAGGCACAAAACGGATGTCTGTGTGTGTGGATGTTTATGTATATATGTGTGTGGTTTGTTTTTGAAGATTAAAGGCCAAAGCCAAGTAGCAAAGATGAGTGGTTTGCTAAATTGGGCAATTAAGTCATTGATGTTGGTGTTTGAGTGGAAACCACACCACAGTGGCTCTGGGTATAGAGTACAAGCATTCAATGCTGAATCTGTCACTCGTGTTCTGCTATGATTCAGATTATTTACATAGCTATCATTGACGTCTATGTGTGCTATGGGCCATCGTCAGTGTTGCTTTCTAAGACTTTGCTAAGACATTGGTAGACATTTCTAGATAGTTGATGTTCTTAGTGGACGCTAGGTGTTAGCTGCAGTGTTCTGTGTGTTGTACTAGTAATGCAGAGTTCAGACTGCACGATTTTCAAAGTAGTTGCGTCACAGATGCGTCACACTGCATGACTGGTGGTCTGTCGTTGCTTTGTATAAACTGGAAGATAAATCTGCGACAGGGGATTTCACACTGCATGACTTTACATGACAAAACGAGGTCATGTAGTATCTATTTTGTCATTACTACATGATGGAGAAAGAAGCCTTTAGTAGGGCATGTTAAGTCAATGCAAAGACACTAATAGACATCCTGCAGCATGATAAGGCACGATTAACGTGATTTGCGTGAATGAAGTATCGCGAGTTAAGCGTTGGAGTTGGAAAATTTGAACTTCAGCGGACATTCGGACCGTGTTAACCAATCAGGAGCTTTCTCTTATAGGGGCGTGATTATGATGTAGCACTTGCTGTTGGTGACATAAGGGGAAACCCTTTTGCCGACACTGGACAACAGTTCAAAAACTCCCTCATCCAGGTTTAGTTTCGGGAGGAGTCGCTGAAGGAAATTGTGAGGAGAATTTGATGTACGAATGAAGCGAATTTGACGTGCGAATGAAGCTAGCAAACTTAAAATCTCTGTCGTCTATTTACCCACAAATAGCGCAATTTATTCTTTCGTTCCGTGTCTGGTGTGAAGAGGGGCGTGGTTAAGGATATTGATACACAGTTGCTTTGGAGGTCCTCTAGTTGGTCAACTGAAAGACCGCAACTTCAAACGTGGTTTAATGGTCAGACTTTGACTGCAGATTACCAAAACAATATTTTTTTTTCTTCGATGGATTAGCTTGCACAGATTAATAATTCATTTAAGAATATCAACGTGAGCTAGCAAAATTAATATAGTAAATTTTAAGTTCTTTGGACTTTGTCACCTGGCCAAAGGAAAAGTAATCCCCTAGTTTCCCTCAAGCTATTTTGCCTGTTTTCTCAAACTGACGGACTTGGGGTTGCTTTTTAATTGTTGACTTCACTTTGGGTAGTTGTGGTTGGTAAAGATGCCACATTTAATATTTGTATGGAACTAACCCGAATCATAATAGAAAGTTTGTACCTGACTTTCTGTTTTTGCTTGGTTATCTCTGATGAATTAATTTAACATGAATTGAGGGCAGCACGGTGGCGCAGTGGGTAGCACAATGGCCTCACAGCAAGAAGGTTAAAGCCCCAGCTGGTTCAGTTGGCATTTCTGTGTGAAGTTTGCATGTTCTCCTCGTGTTCGCATGGGTTTTCTCCAGTTTCCAAGTCCCAAAACATGTGGTATAGGTGAATTGGGTAAGCTAAACTGTCCATTGTGTTTGTGTGTAAATGAGTGCGCATAGATGTTTTCCATGTTCAAGTTGAAGTCCCAGCACTGGCAGGGATTTTACTTTTAAATAAAAGCATCTGCCAAATGCCTAAATGTGACTCTGAAAAACAAAACCAATCATTGGAAATCACAAAAAGTAAATGTGCATCGTGTAGCTGGTGCAGTACAAACCTTATATTTGATAAAAATATAATTCCATAGATGAGCATTTCATCTTGTGCAACTTTCTTTTTTTTCCAGTCTAATTTCCCTTTCTTTTTCACCTCTGACCTGCAGATCCTGCAGTGGGAACAGAACCTGGAGAAGTTTAACCTAGAGCTCTTCCGCATGCGCTGTTACCTGGCTAGCCTGCAAGGCACTGAGCTGCCCAATCCAAAAAGCCTGCTAGCCACTGCTGGACGGCCCTCTAAAATGGCGCTAGGTCGCCTGGGAATTTTCTCTGTGTCGTCCTTTCATGCGCTGGTGAGGATCATCACATGCTTTGAGGCACACATACATTAAAATAGTCAACCTTTGAGATGCAGAACAAAAATCAAATGAAGATTCTGAGAGATGCTTGAATGAGCTCGTGTTTGTGCAGATATGTAACCGTGACGAAGCCACACTGAAGAGACGATCCCGCTCTCATCCTCGAGGTGTGCGGAACAAACGAGGACTGCTCTTTTCTTCTCAGAAGGGATTGGACAGTCTGACCAAACGCAACCGTGAAAAGAGACAGTCCATGTCCCAGGTAAGCCCGAGTTACGGCAAAGTGCTTACTTTTTTGCAAACAGTAGTTTGCATTAATGATTTTGCTGCTTGTTCAAACTACTTAATTACGAGCTTAAACAACATCGATCTTGAGATTAGTTTGGGACAATGTAATTGTTTTATGGTCAATCCTCTTAAATTTGTTTAGTTAACTTAAATCTATTTGTGTTAGAACAATATGAATGACTTGAATATTAGTGTATTAGTCTTGGGAACGGGGTGGTATTAGGTAGTGCTTTTGCCTCACAGCAAGAAGGTCACTGGTTCTAGCCTCGGCTGAGTCAGTTGGCATTTCTGTGTGGAGTTTGCATGTTCTCACTGCGGCTGAGTCAGTTGGCATTTCTGTGTGGAGTTTGCATGTTCTCAATGAGTCAGTTGGCATTTCTGTGTGAAGTTTGCATGTTCTCACTGCGTTCACGTGGGTTTCCTCCAGGTGCTCAGGTTTCCCCCACAGTCCAAAGACATGAGGTACAGTCAAATTGGGTAAGCTAAATTGTCCGTAGTGTATGTGTGTGAATGAGTCTTTCCCGGAGATGGGTTGCAGCCGGAAAGGCATCCGCTGCTTAAAACATATGCTGGATAAGTTGGCGGTTCATTCCACTGTGGTGACCCCAGATTAATAAAGGGACTAAGCCGAAAATAAAATGAATGAATGAATGAATGTATTAGTCCTACAACATATATAATTTCAGCATCAATCTTTACGCAATAGTCACATTCCAGGCTTCCGCAATGTCAGTACAATTTTAGTCTATTTAATCTTTTAGAAAATTTAAGTGGGGTTATATTCAGAACCCTGCAAAGTTTAACCTTAATAGAGCAAAAGTTTATTTATTTGCTTGTTTGCTTAATTTTTAAGGCCTGTGACTGTAAGATTCCAAGTGCATTTAAACCCAAAGGTGCCCAAACCTTTTTTCATGAAGGGCCAAAAATCAAACTTGATTGAAGGTGGTGGGCAGAAGCTAAATATAATCAGCTGTTTTATAATAAAGGTAACTTTCTTATTTAATAATATTTAAAATATTATTTAAAAATTTATTAATCGTATTATTAATTAAATATATATATATATATATATATATATA